TGGTTAATGATAATGAGGATGAAGATATTGGGAGCATCAGAGTACAAGGCCATTAACTAATAAAGAGCAGCCATCGCTATTGATCCATCTCAGAGAAAGCACTCGGGAGGGTTTGGGTACTTGCGTTTCTCGTTCTAACCCTCACCTCTTTCTTAACCTCCCCCAATCATCTTCCTCTTTCTACCTCTCTTTCTCTCCCTGCAGGTTATAACCATCGATTCTGGATCCCCACCATTAACAGTGAGTAATGATGGGCCTGAAGTCCCCATGCCCCTGGGACCTTTCCTTCCTAAGCCTGCTTCCCGGGGAGGAAAGTATCCCCCTCTCCTAGGTTCTTAGCCCCAGAGAAGGCCCAGACCCGTAAAAGTCTCAGTCTGAGTCAGGTAGAAATGCAAGTTTGCATTCACGGCACTGTCCCCTCATTGCTCCATGTAGAACCCAACAATCTTTATTCACGCTGTATTTTCTTTCAGCTCCGGTGACCTCTGCAGTCTCTTCAAGACCCCCAGCATCTGTGACCCACACCCTCAGCTCTACAGGTAGCAATTTGATCTCTGAGTCCCATGAAACTTCAATTTTCATTTAGTGGTTGATGGATTCCTGCACGGTCTGAACCCTGATGCCCACCCAGCCTCAGCCTGTCCCACTTTGTCCCTTGTCCCCTCATCTCTGGCCACGCTGGCCTTGTTTCTTTTCCTGCAGGGCCCAAACATCCCTCCATCCTCAGGGCCTTTGCACTTGCTGGGCTTGAAGGAACTCAGAAGTTCCTTCTTGTCTTCCAAATCTCAGCTCAGCGTGTCTTTGCTGAGACCTTCTCCAAATTAGTACTTTCCCCCGTGTCCACATCCCACAGAAACCTAGCATCTATTCTATCTCTATGCTCATCTCCTTCATGCCAATTATTACACTTGGGTTTCTTGACTGCTCAAGGATTTGTGACTCAAGACCTGAGCACAAAAGGTCTTGGCCCCTCCTCTTCTCAATGTAATGTCCACGACTTGTCAGACTTTGGCAACTCTGGGCTGAGAGAGTTGAGGTTCCATTCTGAGGTGAAGTCACACATTCGACCTCCTTCTGGCTGGCTGAAGAATGGTCCAGAGGAGATATTCCAGGCCTCAACTACTGGACATTATGGGCAAGGAGATGGTATAATCCCTTACTTCTTACCCCGACATCCAGCTCAGGACTAAGACTCTGATGGGTTCTCTCTCTCTCTCTCTCCCACTCCCTTTAGCTGCAGGGGTGAACCCAGTCCTGGTGTCATTCACCCTCAACTTCACGATCACCAACCTGCTCTATACTCCAGACATGGAGCGCCCAGGCTCCTTGAACTTCAACTCCACCGAGAAGGCCCTGAATTACCTGGTAAGAGCCACTGATGCCTACCCTGACTCACCTTGTCCTTGACCCCACCCAATCCCCTCAACCTACCCTGCTCTTGTCCCTTCCTTCCTCCCAGCTCGAGCCCTTGTTCAAGAAAACCAGTGTTGGCTCTGGCTACTCTGGCTGCAGACTGACCTTGCTCAGGTGAGACTTCCTTTCCTCACATCATGAAGGGCTGCACTGTCACAGGCAACCTCATCTGGAGGTGAGGACCTGAGCATGACACCAAAAAGGCAAGGATCACAAATGACTGGGGTCTTCCAGGAATTCAGACTCAGACAGCACTCTCTCTGGCTGAGTGTATCAGAGAGGGCTTCCTGAAATAGGTGGCTGTCAAATTTCTTAAATTATTTGGATCAGCAGGAGCTTGAAGCATTCAGTCTCACTGGTTAGAAATGGCAACATTAACTCATTCAATAAACATGGAATGAGACTCCTCAAGATACGCCTGTGATAGTTGCTAAGGGCACTAAGAAAGTCAACCACGGGCACTTCACTCCAGGTGCCCACAATGTAGAGAGGGCAGCAGCCACATGAACTTGAAACCATAGAATGAACAGAATTAGTCTTACCGTTCAGCTCTACACAGGGGCCACAGGAGCTCAGAGA